ATTCCTTGAAGTATGCATAAACTTTCGTCGACGAACACGGAAGAATTCGTGCCAATTGACAATCCTCCCCAGTCGCCGCTAAACCAACAAAACGGCGACCGAGACCCCAAAGATCCGTAGCGCCCTCTAGACAACATGAACCCTACTGGTCTATACAACGAAGGCGAGCTGGCTGAGTACACCAAGGTCCTCATCAACTCGCCTCCGATCAAGCTGCCCAAGCTCCATCTGAAAGGCGACTACAAGGCCTGGAAGAGCGAGGTGCCGTTGCACTTCGAGCCGAAGATGCTGGGAGACATCACCTATGGCCCTGAGCGTTACGATGCAGTAGAAGGCATGCGTCGTGACAAATATCGCGTGTGGTACAAGTCGCGCAAGAACAAGGCGTTCTCAGCACTTGCGTTGTCGCTGTCTGTTGACCTACGTACGACGTTCAAGATCGACGACATCCACGACAACATGGACGCCGCCGCTATGCTCTACGATGCGATTACGCAGCACTTTGAGGCTGGAGATGGCATTAAACCTGATTTCCTACTGCAAGAGCTAGTGACGCGCCGGCTCAAGCCAAACGAGTCGGTATCGCAGTATGCTGACGACATTGCGAAGAAGGTGACACTTCTACATCAAGCTAATGGTGAGTTTGCTGAGTGACAACATGCAAGCCTACTACTGTCGAACAGCGTGGAAGCGTTTAAAGATCTCGCCCGTGAACACGGCGATTGGCTTAACAACCATGATCGTAAGACACTTACACTTGCTGAAGCTTTACAGCGACTACGCGCTGCTGAACACCAGCGTGACCAGCTGCGTGCACAGACCAGACAACCGGTCGTGCATTCAATGCAAGTTGCTCATGTCGGAACGGACCAAGGACAAGGTCAAGCCCGAGGACGCAAGCGCAACAAGCAACAGCGCAAGCGATCCAAGGGCGTTGCAGATAAGAAGCAGCGCACAAACTGCGCGGACTGTCAAGGAGAGGGACATTGGTATGCCGAGTGTACGGCTCTCACTGGCCAGCATCTGAAGCCAGAGCTCGCGAGAAAGCTGCAAGAGAGACAACCAAGGGCTTCAGTGTCGCTGGTGAACTCCGTACGTCGTGTGGATGCGGTAGCGTTGGAAGAAGATGGTCAAGGACTGTTTGCTGGCCTATCACTATGCGATGCGAATGCGATTGACCTCACGGATGGTGCTGCCCTATCGCCTACGGCTACGCAATCACCTGCATGGTCACTAACGTCTCCTGCGGAAAGTGAAGAAGGAGGAGAGCGTCGTGTTGTTGAAGGGGTGCGGGCAAGTACGCAACGCACTCAATCGTCGGTTGAGCAAGTAACGCAGCGACTGCAGCTGCAAGTTGGAGGACAAGGACTACAACAACGACAATCAACCTCACTGCCTACACTGCAAGCACCAGCTGTAGCTGTGCAAACTGCCATACAATCTGCGGTACAACCTGAAGTGCAACCTACTGGACAACCTGCTGTTCAACAGGGTGTACAAGCTACTGTACTGCAAAACATGCAACCTACTGTATCGAGTACTGCGCAGACTCAGTGGGAGGGCAATCAGTCTACAGCTGGATTGGTACCTACATGGGAATCAGTCATCTACTACTTGGGGCAAGGACTGTCGAGTAACTCGAAAGGGCCTACACTTGAGCCATGGCGCAATCAAGCTGAACCACAAGGGGGTTCGGCTGTGCCGGGGGATAGCTGTCGAGGTCCTGATGTCGGGTTTAACTAGACGCCAAGAACCAGGGATGCGCAATGATTACAGACCTAACTTGGAGAGTGCGTACGAGAGAGGACTCTGGAGTCAAGATGTTGGACACTTTGACCCTCCTATTCAAGGACGAGGACGAAGTCGCTCACCACCCCGATTCTTCAATCGAGAACGAGCTCCACCAAGAGGAAGAGGCCGGTCTCCGTCAATGCGAGGACGTGAACCAAGAGGGAATCCAGGGCGCTATCGATCTCCACCGCGTCAGCAGCAGTGGCGTAACGAGAGACCGAGTCGCTATGAGCCGCCACCCCAACGCGATGATCGACTGAGTCGCTATGGACCGTCGTCTCCGCAGCAGCAGTGGCGTGACAATCCTTCGAGAGGACGAGGACCTTCACCTCGACGTGACAATTTCCAAGGGCGGAACATGTCTCCACGTCGATTTGAAGACCGTCGTTAGAACAGACCACCCAACTCTCGTCAAGTCAACGCTGTGAGCCAGAACCAAGGTATGCAATCAGCTCAGTCTGAATTTGTGGAGTGGATACTTGATTCAGGATCCCAGGCAAATGTCTGTGGTGACCTGTTATTGTTTACTACCATAAGGGAAGACCAAGCTAGTCGACTTGACTTTGCGAAATGGCACAACTGAACACACTTCTGTTTGTGGGTCTGTGCTATTACGTGTTGTTAACCCAGGCAACTGGCCAGCTCGAGGACCGTCTCCTGGACGACGTGGTGTACACACCGAACGCGAAGGTGAACATCATTAGTTTGGGCTGTAGTGTAGTGATTTCTCCGTAGTTGCGGATTATCACCCGTCGACAAAGACGTGACACCGCCCAAGTTGTTCAAGCGACGAACCCTCGGTCAGGTGATGTACGGAGACGCCAAGGTGCAAGGGACTCCACGGCGTCACTCCCGAGCTTTCAACAAGTATCGGATACGGCCATATGTCACTGGATCCAGGCTGTCCTTATTATTAATAATGGACTGGCCAGATTCGCATTCAGCGGACCATCTACGGTACGAACCCTCAATGGCGGTTGGGATGAGTTCGCGGAAGACTCAGCGCCCTTGGGAGGCACGTTCACCGTCTGGGACAAGGCGCGGACCGTTAAAGATGCTCATGCGACGGTGCAGACGACGCTTGGCATGCAAGAAGATCCATAACGGATCATTGTTCACTTGATATTTGTATACTTGATTAGGACTTCTTATTAGGAATAGCCCGAAA